GTTTGGTGGAATTTTGAGGGCATTAAAATCCAATGTAATTTGAGGGTGCTTACAAGTGATGGTGGGAGAATCGCACAAGAGAGTGTAAAAATGTTTTGTGGGATTGACATTTGAGAAAATATTTAAATCCACCATTTTATTCGACGTCGAACAGATTTCGGATATCCCAGAAATGTGAAGACTTTTTGTGTAAGGAATACATTTCAAGCGACTTGCTAATTTCTCAGTGATAAACGAAAGCTGACTAGCTGAGTCTGTAAGGCAGCGAACCTTAACGGGATTATTATGAGAATCATAAATTGTAACACATGCTGTTTGGAGTAGAACCTCCTTTTTGCCTGAGAGTGCAGAGAGAGATGATGCTCGGTAGTACATCATTAGACTGACATTGATTTGCTATTCGTGGGAATTGCAGGAGAACTTGAAGTTTCGCCTTGAGTATTGGGATCACGAGATACATTAGAGTGAGTACGAGAATTTGAAGTATCATGTATATTGTGAGTCTGGCGAGTATTTGAGAATTACGATTTCCTTGTGAGTCTTGAGAGTGACGAGTATTTTGGAAGTGAGTGTTTCTAGTGGGTAGACTACAAGAATCTTGATTTGTTCTTGAAATGAACCGAGAACTATTTGAGTTATGATTAGAAGCGTTAGAGAAATGGAGCAATGTGTGATGTCTCCTGTTACATTTGGCGCAATTCGACGAAAGGTACATGAGCTTGCTGAATGACCACTAGCCAAGCAGTTGAGACACGCTTTCTTTGCCTTGACCGTTTGAAAACGGTCATCTTCAGACATATTTTAAGAATTCCTGGCAAGTGTATATTTTATGAGAGTTATTTTGACATAAGAAACATTTAAAATACTGATTATTACTACTATACTGCAAATATTGCTAACTGTGTTAAGAGAAGTAAAACGAGAAAGTTGTTTTTGTTTCGGAGAATGGGAATACTCAGGAGCAAGATTTTCGTGAATTTTGCATTTTCTTTCAATAAATTCAAGGAACTCCAATAAACTTGGGAGTTTGTTTATATTACGATCGGTTTCAAATGATCTTTTAGTATTATAGTCTAATTTTTGAGTAAAGAGATTGATGAGAATTAAATCAGTGAGTTGATTCGAGATGTTGAGGTTTTCTAAGGCGGCGAGATGGCTTTTATATTTGAGTTAAGAAATCCCTTAGAACATGTGCATTGGGTTTTGTAATGAGTGGAGCATTTAATAAAACTGTTCAAATGGCTGTTACTATTAAATATTTATTTTCAAATCTATCGCATAAATTTTTTATTGCAATTTCGAAATTGGAATCAATTATTTCTAGATTGTCAATTAACTTTAACGGTTCATTCCTTAACACTGATTTGAGATAAATAAGTTTTTGAGCATTAGATAACTGTTTATCATTTGTTATTAATTTGGTAAAAACTTCAAAAAACTGTGGCCATTCTGATATTTCGCCCGAGAAAAAAAGGTATTTTTAATTCTGGCAACTTTACATTTTGAATTGTGCTGACAGATGGTGTTACATTTGTTACAATAGGTTGAGTTTCAACTGGTTTTGCAGATAATTGCGTGATTTTCTCGTGCAAATATGAGTCTAAATTATAATACTGTTCTTCAACTATGTCCTATCTGAACAATATTTATCAAAATCTTCTAATTCAAGTTCCTCTTGTAAGTTGAGATACTTGCGATAAGTTTCATTTAATACATTTTTGCGTGCAATATATTGACCGCAATCTAAAACTACATTTTGGTTTTTTGAGGACAAATGTTTGAATTCTAGTAATACAAGCTTTAGTATGCCCTCTTAACTTTATAATTTTTGCAACATCAGTCATTTTGAGCGTGAGAAAAAATAATACAAAATTTTAAATATAACAAGAGATACTTAGTATTAAGAACTAAATAATATACCATAAAAATCTACTTATAAGCACTGCGAATCTAAAAATAAAATAAAATAACAAGGCGACGATACAAAAAACCAATTCGTATAAGTTACAATAAGTGACCAAACCGCACAGTCCAACCGCGACCGAAACATAAAACTTCTTATCCCTTCAAGGTGACGAAACCAAACCTTCCGGACGGCGCCAATACGAAGAACCTTGGATCGTGGAACCGCCAAAACTGCGATGTGTGAATATGAGAGAATAAAAACTATGTCTTTTCTTTGCGAAGAAATGAGAAACGAGTGATTTTTTACGAATAATGTGAGAGAATCTTGAGAAATTTCTTGCGTGAAGCGTCTTTGTAGAGACGAGAACTGATCGCCTTCGTGGTTTATCAATGAAAAATCCAGGCTTTCCAGCTTTACAAAGGACGGGAAACAGCTGCTGTATCCGGCTCGAAGGACCATGAAGAACATAGGGGATTTTATTTCTCCCCCTGAATATGTTGCTAACTGCTTATTGAAGCAGTACCTTCGATTTTGGTTCTATGTAGTTATAAATAAAATAAAATTGGGTTACCTTATATTTTGGCGATCAAACTCTCGTAATTACTTTAAATTACACTTAATAATTAAAACTATATATTTTTTTTATATAACACAAAATCTTTTGTGGAGAAATGAGCGATTTATTTTAAAAGTGACAAATATTAGAGAGTTATTAAAATTGACAAATATTAGAGTAATGTCAAAAATTATAGAATGACTGTTGTCGACGTCATAAAGGTTAAGAAGGGAATTTCTCGCAATTATGTGCAGCAAATAGAAACAGCATCTGTCTTGCATTATCGGCAATTCGACTATGAATTTTTTTGGTTGCGATATGCAACAGTTTTGTTATGTATGGGAGAGCAAAACTAATAGGTCTATAGTTCTTTAGGTCTGAAATGTACAACTTTTTTGTGCATTATGGTTATTATTGCATTATGCCACTGGGAGGGGGTTACGCCTCTTGTCCAAATAAGCATTGAACATCTTTTCACATATTTAGTAACGTTCCTCCTCCTTCTTTGATTTGTTCAATGACTATCCCATCTTCTCTAGTTGGATTTATTGTTTTTCATCATATATGCTTCATCTCTTCAGAAATATTTTGAAGAATATATATAGCTTGGGACAAAACATAATCCTAATAGGGAAATTCAGACTGAAGAAATAAAAAGAAGAAGAAAGTTAGCTTGGGCAGCATTCGGTAAACTGAACTATATACTCAGAAATCAACAAATTCAATTACATCTTAGATCTAAAGTTTTATGATGCATGCATTATCCGATATTAACTTATGCGGCACAACATGGACAATAACAAAAAAGAATATGAATATACTTAGAGTCACTCAACACGCGATGGAAAGAGCAATGCTAAGGTATATCACTTAAGGAAAGAAAAACAAACACATGGATAAGACAGAAAACCAAAGTCACCGATTTGGTGCAAAAAGTATTAAAGCTGAAATGGGAATACGCTGGACATGTAGCTAGGAGCGATCTAAACAAATGGCACAGATCAATTTTAACCTGGAGACCATACAACACAAAAGACCCAGAGGCAGACCTCCTATGAGATGGACAGATGATCTGAAAAGGACTGCCGGGAAAAATTGGCTACAAGTAGCGTACAATAAAAAACAATGGAAAGGAAGACTTGAAGAGGCTTATGATTCAGATGTGGACGTGAATGGCTAGACGAAGAAGAAGAAGAAGATGCTTCATCTTACTTTTAGTTACTGCTGTACGTCATTATCGTTGACAGATATCGGAAGTTGACATTAGTTCCATCCATCCATCCAATGGCATTACAGCCCAAGCCAGGCCCTTGGCTCCTTCATTAACTTCTCCAAACATCTCTATTTACTGCTGTTCTTTTCATGAACGCGTTTTTAGGAGATTTTTGGCATCCTCATCTACCTCGTCTTCCCATCTCTTTTTTGGTCTTCAACAGGTCTTTTTCCTTGCATTCTTGCGTTTAGTAATTTTCCTGGGGATTCTGTTCTCATGCATGCGGGCCACATGCCCTGCCCATCGTAATCTCTGCAGTCTAGTGTATTGTGCTAGTGTTGGTTCAGTGTATGGTTCGTATATTTCGTTATTATATCTTGTTATTATATCTATAGTTGACTAGTTGCCAAAGTATAAAAAAATCCTAACTCCATTTTAAATCAATGGAGTCAGTTCCCGCCTCGGGAACTGCTCCAAGAAGATGGTTTTGAGTGTAATTTGTAGCAGAAGATTAGGTAGTTTTAAAAAAGGTACTAGTATTATTGAAAAAGAGCAGTTTTAAATGTTTTAGATCGTTTGTAATGTGAATGTTTAAATTCAGCGTTTTTTAAGCATATTTCAAATGCCTCACATTTGTTGTCAAAATCTAAACTAAAATTTCATGTTATAGGTTTTAAAGATTAGGCTCTAGCTATCGAAACTCCGCAGTGGCCGGTTAATAAAAGGGATACATTGTATTGATCCCTGAGAATCATAAAAATTGGCAAAAATCGCGCCACGTTTATTTATTTAACGCCTTTATAAAAAACTCAGTTTATTTGCAAAATACAAATATTGCGTACAAAAAACTGCACTTTTTACCTTTAAAACGCATTTTTGTCGATAGGACACTCAGATCAAAAGATATCGAATTTTTACCGTCGAGCTGATACAAATTTTATTGAACATTGATCGTAACTGACATACAAAATTATCGATGGCTTCAAGCGTTGTTTCTGAGAGTACGGTTCATTCTACACAAAAATGGTTCTTGGTAAATCGATTTTTTTTTTTCGTTTTCCCCCCTTGTAGATGAGATCAGTTTTTAAGAGAAAGGCTGAGGGTAAAAGTGGTAAACTTTTTTGCATCTTTTTTGGCGTCTTAAAATTGACATTCTTGACAAAATTCAGCTTGTTCGTATGATTTTTAGAGGTTCATTGGGATTTCGTCTGTGACGACTGGTGTATAGATATACTGCATTAATTTATCTCCCGTTTATTTTATTCTAATCACGCACATTTAAACATATTTTGAAATTAGACTTAGATAATCTTTGTTTATTACAGAAAGGAAAACAACAGCACTTCCAACTGGGACAATGGTTTAGAGATAGATATGATGGATTTTTGCCAAGAAACTATTTCGTAGACGATATTTATGTGATGTCATCAGACTACGACAGAACTCTTATGTCAGCCGAAGCAAATCTGGCTGGCCTATATCCACCTGTAAAAACGCAAACGTGGGAACCGAAACTTAAATGGCAGCCGATTCCAGTACATTCCAGTCCTAGAAATCAAGATGCACTGGTAGCTGGCCAGAAACCTTGTGCTAAATATGACCTGTTATTGAAACAACTTTATAAAACGCCGTATTTTAGAAATATGAGCCATAGCAATCATGATCTATTTGCTTACTTGACGAGATACACTGGACATGTAGTAGCAGATTTGAAAGAAGTTCAATACTTGTATAGTAATCTATATATAGAAAGTTTGTTCAACTATACTCTACCGCCATGGACCTCCAAAGTTTTTCCCGGTAAATTGAAGTCCTTAGCTAGTGTAGGCTTTGCAGTGGAGACTTGGACGCCTGAAATGGCTAGGTTCAAAACAGGCCCTTTATTTAACTATATAACGAGCTATTTTAAAAATAGGACTTCAAAAAATCCAACCTCTACAAAATTTGTAGTATTTTCCGCTCATGATACGAATATTGCCAATGTACTTAACTCTATGGGAGCTTTTGACCCTCACTGTCCTCCTTATACAAGTACCATTTTGTTCGAGTTGTGGAGAAATGCTCGTGGTGAGGACTATGTAAACATTTTGTACAAGAATACTACCGAACCACGGCCAATAGCTTTAAAAAATTGTCGTCTTAATTGTAGCCTGTCTGATTTTGTTGAAATTTTAAAACCTATTACCATAACTCTAGACCAATGGGAGAAAGAATGCGTAGTTAGATGGGATTTCGTTTGGCCTTTGACATTCCAATGGAATATTATCCTGATATGTTCATTGATAACAGTCATTTTGCTGTTATCGGCAGTGATAGTAGGTGTTCGGAAATCTAGAAAAGAATGTGATAATAATTATATACAGTTGCCGAATGAAGAGTACGCCTAGTCGATTAATTTTAGGAAAATTGATAGTTTTGAATTGATTGGTAAATTTATTGGACTGAACTGTGTAGTATTTAAATAAAATATTGAAAAATGTTGTAACTTTAGGTTAGTACTGACGTTGCGGCGATATGATCAGACTAAAGTCGATTCAGACGCATCAGTCCGTCACAGTCCCGACGCCGAACCGGTCCTGTTTGGTCACAGAACTATCAACTATCTGACAGCTGGCAAACTGTTCGTCAACTGATGAATGTGAATGCCGGCGCCATATTTTCTATTAAAGAAATATTTGGTATGACGGATTGTTCGTTCGGCGCCAGGACTGTGACGAGACGTGACTGATGTGTCTGAATCGACCTTTAAGGTAAAAATGGGTAATTACGGTTATTTACAAACAAATCGGTTTTTAAATTTCTTTATTGTTTACACGTTATTGTAAACATAAATTTAAATGTATTAATAAAATCTGCAAGGAGAACATTATAGTTTTATGAAACAGTATGATAAATTGATCGAGTTTTTTTTTTAAAGTCACGTAGAATACATTTGCGGGAAAACATAAAAACTGTTCATAAATCCAACCACAAGAATTATTTGTTTGTTGCCATATACCGATATAAGTTTTTAACTACCATATACGTTATAGACTAGGCGCGATCTGTAGAAATTCAGACCATAATGGACATTTTCTATAGGAAGCTATTTTTTTTGCTGGAATCCCTTTAGGAGGTGTCCAATATCGATAATCACGATATGCGCCAGTCGCAAACCCTGTGCTAAATTTTTTATTTAACAAAATCTGAAAAACAATTGAAAATTTCTTATTTTTTTGATCCTATTTTCGTTTATAATTCGGAAAATATTAATCCTAGAGAAAAAATTATAAGAAGTTAAAAGTTCGTTATTTAATTTTACACAATATTTCGTTAGCTAGAAATTGAAAATATAATGTTTTTTGTTGAAAAAATAGCAATAATTGGAAAAAAGTACAAAAAATGAAGTTAATCCTTTTAAATATTTTCGACTTTCTAAATTTGACAAAAGTTTTCAACATTTTTTTAGGCTTATAAACAAATTGAATAACTTTACGAGCTTTAAACATATCAATTTCAAAATTGTATACACTTAAAGAACAAGACACATCTTAAAAAAAAAAGATACATTCGGCTTATTGGTTGCCGTAAGTGATAGAGGGCTCGTTTTTAAACAAATACCCTCGTCTTGTCAAGTACTTTTTATATGAAAAGTTTTACGTAATGCGCTTCATGGTAACATCCATAAAAAAGACAAATAAAAACCGTTTTCGTGTAAAATGTCGCTCGGAATGCATGAGAGTTGGTGGTGGGGACATTCACTCGAAATGTTAATCGGCGAGTTCAAAATCATAGCGCGCGCTAAAAATTGCATTATCTCGGCTTCTTGTTATCCAATTTTGCTCTTTTTTTTAATCGATGTCTCGGACGACAAGGATTTCAAATACCATTTTTAATTGCAAATTGTGAAATTTGAAGTAAACAATGTATGTTAAACAAGTAATTGCATTTTTTCTTCATGCATTTTTTTGCATGCAATAAATATGTATTTATAAATTGTTAATAAATAATTTGAATTGTTAAAACAGTCTAAAGTCTAAACAGTAAAGTATTTTTCTTTTTTGGAAGGACAAGAATCTTCAGGTCTTATTTCTTCCTCAAAACCTTCATTTTTCATTTCAATATTTTCATCCTCGATCTGTAAACGGCAAATGTATGCAACTTTGACCTTCAATATATCGGCAACCAGTAAGCCGAATGTATCTTTTTTTTAAAGAAGCGTCTTTTAATGTTCTTTAAGTGTATAAATTTTAAAATTGATATGTTTAAAGCTCGTAAAGTTATTCAAAATTGTTTATAAGCCTAAAAAATGTTTAAAACTTTAAAAAAATTTCTAGGCTCTCCTAGTGAACCGATTTGAATTTTACAAAAAGCGTTTGAAAGTTTGAGCCTTCCTTTATATGTAAAAAATTTGCAATTATATGAGGGCCTTATTTAGGGCCTACTATAAATGTGAAAATTTGCGATTTTTCTCCAGTAGGCTGGATTGCAAAATTATTATGCAAAACCTATCCGACCGATCTTAACAAAATTTAGCACACGTTTTAAACATATTAAAAAGCTTTTCTAGGCGGAATATGGAGTTTGTAAGTCAAGTTTAGAAAGTCGAAAACATTTAAAGGATTAACTTCATTTTTTTGTACTTTTTTTTCCAATTATTGCTATTTTTTCAACAATAAACATTAAATTTTCAATTTCTAGCTAACGAAATATTGTGTAAAATTGAATAACGAAACTTTTAATTTTTTATAATTTTTTCTCTAGGATCAATATTTTCCGAACTATAAACGAAAATAGGAGCAAAAAAATGAGAAATTTTCAATTGTTTTCAGATTTTGTTAAATAAAAAATTTAGCACAGGGTTTGCGACTAGCGCATAGCGTGATTATCGATATTGGGCACATCCTCCTGAAGGGATTCCAGCAAAAAATAACTTAATATGGAAAAAGTCCAATCAAAAACCGATTCCGCCTAGACCATTATTCATAGGGGCACGGAATGTTCGCAAATAAAAAACATGAATTTCGCATTTATTTTTTTTATAATTACAAAATTTCGCATTTATTGTAAATTCGACATTCGACTCTTTAAGAGCTGTTCTTCGATCTGGACATCATCGAAGTTGACCGCAAGGATTCGAACTGCTGAAATAATCTGATTGCGATACGTCTATTCAGATTTCCTGTAAAAAAATGGACCAATTATATTATCGTTATAAAGTCCAGTCCACACATTTAATTTCTTTGGGTATTGTGTTTTCACAGCAATACTCAAATGTCTATTTTCCCTAGACCAATAGCTGACGACATATGGATTATGACGTTTATGGATTGTGAATGAAGATTCATCGGATAACAAAACATTTTTTAAAAAGTTATTGTTCTCATTCGATTTCTCCATCATAGTTTCACAAAATTCCATACGTCTGAAAAAATTTCTTGGGTGGTTTGCTCTTTATATTTTGTATCCATTTCGTTTTAAAATATTCCTTGCAGTTCTCTCCTTTAGGTCAACTTCTTCCGCAATTTGTCTACTCGAACAAGGCGTTTCTTCAGCAGTTAAAGAAACTTACATTTCGCGAGCTTCGCGTTCAACAGAAATTTGTTTAGATCGTGGTTAATCCATTTCATATAGGTATTTATGCAACCGAAATTTTTTAAAGTTTTTAATAATTGATCGTACTGTATTCTCTGTCGGATTGGGCGATTTTCAAAAGCAGCAATAAAAAGCTGTATTATTTCTACAATAGAATGGTTCCCATAATACCATTTCACTATTTGAATCTTTTCTTCTCGAAAATATACGCTTGGTATGTTAATTATTTGTTTTCAACCTTTTACCACCACAGCTAAAAATCAAATAGATAAATCATAAACGCCATAAATCTCCTGTACTGAGATTTATGGCGTTAAGCCATGAATGCATGGTGGCTAATCAATTGATGCATTATACTATTTTATAACCTTTCCTCTCACAATAACGTTTTTCAGTGCAAGCTTAAAAAGGAGGCACGATAGTCGTGTCACTTTGTGTTAATCCTTTTTTGCAGCAGAACTACTTTGAGGTGTCGTTCTGGATTCTGACTATACTATCCGTGTGTGTCATTCACATCAACATCAGTCACTTATATTCAGTCTTTATTGTACCATATTCGTGAGTTTAGCTCATTCAAAACTATTTGGTGGTACATATTAACAATCCAAAATGGCCTTAAAAAACACAATTCAAATGTTTTCCTTTCGAGAACAAACAAAATAATTGGTATGACCTTTATCGCTAATTGGCAGTATCAGTTGACCGACATTAGCTTCCGTTCGGAATTACCCATTTTTACCATAACTGAATTATTCAATAATGCATCAAGCAGGTTGATTCAAAGGTATAGGCATTCAAAAGTATTGAATTATACAATATACAACGTGATCTTATATAATTCTTAAAGTATAGATACTGTTTTACAGAGACCCGTTAATTTGACAATTTGACACTATTTCATTATATGTAATTAACACTATAACGTTGTTAACCCTTAGTGCCCAGATTATTTTTTTCGCCGTTTTTAATGTGATGCTAATATCTTTTTGGGAACAGTTTCATTAAAAAACATAAAAATAAATGAATTTACACATTCGGATTTATAAATCACTCAGTATATGATGTTACATATATGTAACGCTAGGAACTAATGGGTGCAAAAAATACAAAATATATCTGTAAACAGTGCTATTTATTTAAAAACTGAAAAATAATAAAAAAAGAATTTAAACATTTTGGTTTGTGTGATAGGTAACGAAACAATCACTACAGAGACCTAAGTTACATTTTTTACACATCGTACGCGTTGAAATTTTACAAAATCTTCCAGGACAACGTCCTCTTTTGTCGTTTGGAATTTTATCCACTAAGTGTTCATCCTTTCATATCTACTTTCATCAGCTACTCTTTGCGCATTAGAAGATAGAGATGGAGTCCTGCCAGTGCTTTTGGGAGATGACGAATATTTCTTCAAATAAACTTGCACGATAGCCCTTCGAAAGTCTATTTGGGACATCTGAGAGTTGTTTGATTTTCGATACAAACACCACGCGTTATTGACTGAAACATCAAGAAGCCATGTAAACAATACCCAGTACCATTTTCTGTTTCTAATTTGAATCCTGTACTGTCCAACATTCTGATCCATTCGATCAGTACCACCCATTTTTTTTGTTATACTCTGCAAGTACTTCTGGTCTGCTAACTTGTATGTTTTTTTCCTTTTGCGAATAACGTCTAACATTTGTTATTGGATTGATGTCATATCTATTTGAAGCAATTCAAACTACGGAATTATCGACCCACTTAGCTACTAGTACAGCATCCGTCTTACTAATAGTACTTTCATAGTATCCTCTTTCCTTTTTGTGAATATCTTTTTTAGCTAATAAAGGCTAGCTTGTAGGTAAACGGTTTTGCCTTATAGTCCCCGTGCCTCCATATCCTCTCAAACGTAA